ATAAGGGACTAGAACGGGGTAGTTAAGCTAGAGGAGTTTTGTTCTGATATTCAAATCTAGAGACACTCCCCTAGAGAATGCTATTTCTGCTTTTCCCCAAGCACTCTGAGGATATGAGCGGGCCAGTGTGTTCTTTGGAACCGAGCACAATGATGCCCTCACTTACTTTCCACCCCCTCACACTCCTCCACTCTCAGAAGGCTTAACAAGTTCAAGCAGGACAGATATTGGAAACTATGATACAGAATAAACACAACACCCACATTGATTTTAGGTACACAAGAATTGAGATGATGGAACAAGGTCACTGTGAGCTTCAGAGATAGTTTGAGGCAAAATAATAAAATAGATGAAGCTTGTTTGGGACTCGCCTGCTCTGTAACAGAATTTTCCATCCTTCAGAGACCCTCCCCAATGTAAATATCTTGAGTTCTAGGTCATTCCTGCTTAAGGTGCTAACTAATAAATTTAAGGTTATGTTTCACATAAAGGTTTGATTGACTAGCCCCTCAAGTTCCTTCAAACTTTGAGATTTTATGATTCTTCACTGGCTGCTCTGTGTCTCTCCTACATAGAGATCCTGGGACTGTAAACCTTTGGGGATCTCAAGAAATTCCAAGTCCATAAAACTGTTCCTTGAACTATGGGTTAAAAGAATAAATGACATCCTCTGGAAAAAATAGCTTCAAGGAAAAGGCAGTATGAGAGAAGTAACTGAAGGATGTACATGTGATAACACATCTGGAGGGAAAGCCATTCCATCTAGGAGACTGGCAGGCACGCAGGCACAGATGTGCTTCCTTCTGCCTGAGGAAGTGGGATGTAACGCTTAGAAACTTCTTCACTCCTTCTCAGGAATGGTCAGCACTGTCCAGGCCTCTCAGACATTTCTAGAGACAAGAGCAGGGGTCTATAAATTATGGGTCACTTTTTTACTCTTACAAGTTGTACTGGATAGAATAGCATCTCCCCACATTTATGTCCTCCTGGAATATCAGAATGTGACCTTATTTAGACATAAGTGTAGTAAGTTAAGATGAGGTCATTCTGGATTCAGGTAGGCCCTAAATCCAGTGAATGGTGTCCTTATGGGAAGGACTGTGAAGACCCACAGGGAAGATGGTGTTATGAAGATGGAGGCAGAGAGTGGAGGTATGCTGCCACAAGCTGAAGAACACCAGGAGCAACCAGAAGCTGTAACCGACAGGGAAGAAGTCTTCCTCAGAGGATTCAAAGGGAGCATCGCCTTGCCAACACCTTGACTGTGGACTTACATAGCCTCCAGAACTGCAAAAGGATAAACTTCTGTTGTGTTGACCCCCCTGAGTCTGTGGAAATTTATTATGGCAGCTCTAGGAAACTAATACACAGGCCCCTCCTGGGCGCCACTGACTACATGGAATGATAAGGCTTAAGAGCTGACCACTGACTGGGCCTTCCAACTTCCGAAGGGGAAATGGACAAGGTACTTCCTCAACAGAACACCTGCTCGCCTCTGTGCATGGGGGAGCAGGCCTTACCTTTCCATCTAGAATAAGCCCATGAGGTGAGAGATATCAAACAGGATGCTGTCTCAAAGGTCAGCATTCCTGGCTGCGGCGTGCCTATGCATATGCCTCTGGAGCCGCCCACTCCTACCTTTCCATCACAACCGCTGCCAAACAACGTTGGACCACAAGGTCTTCTTGTTCAAACCAGTGAGTTTTCTCAGTGACATCAGACAGGAAGGCTGAAAACTGTTGGAAGTCCCCTCCATGTTGGATTAGCGACACATGGGTGAACCGAGCCCATACATTATTCAGAGGGGAAAAATGTGGGCTCTGACTGAACTTTGAAGGAATCAGCAGCCATTCAGAAGGAGAGTGCCCTATTGTTCTACTTTCCAGAATACAAAGGGCAAGCGGCATTCCTCACAGCATAGCTAATGGAATGCACACAGACGGCAGACATCTCTGATGAGCTCTGAAGTCCTGTGCAAAAGAGCCCTGATCAGAGGAAGGATGGTCACACTTTTTCTATTTTTTCTGTAACATTACAACTCAGTGATACTCAGGTCAGTAGTTTCCGGATAAAACGGTGTCATCTGTGAAGAGTGTACTTGTCAACAGAGGCAAGGTCCCCTCAGGAGGGCCACCAGGCAGATTAGGTTGACATTCATGCCATTGTCTGGCAGATCCTTCCCTGAAACATGGTAGCCTTTCCTGCATGGTGGAGGAAGAAGAGAAATGGTTGGGAAATTCATTAAAAAAAAAATTCCACACCATTTGTTTCTTCGAGACCAGAAAAGCATTTTCTAAAAAGAGAGAAGGAAACTCTGACCAAAAGGATCAAGTGAAGGCTAACAGGGCCTTTTGTCCAGAACATTCGCAAGGGTTCTGAATAGATTCCTGGTGTAGGCTCTTTGGTCAGTAATGAAAATTTAAGTATTCTGGAAAAAAAGAAAAGTGTTCTGGAAAGGACATAGAACAAACCCTGAAATTGCAAATATTTATTTGCACCTTATGCTACCACTGAGGATTTCCATAAACACTTAAAAAATATATTATCTTGTTTACATTTTCCTTGGCAAAAATTTCTTAATCTGTGGATTAAACTGATCTGCCATTATTAAGTTGGTTTGACTTTCAAAGGTAGGAAAGTGTTTTATTAAGGAAAAAAAAAACAAATACACTGATAGTACAAATTTGATTTTTAAAATTCTGTTTTCTTGTAACATGTATTTCTGCTGTTTCAAATTAAGAAGTACAACTCAACTCACATAATACTCACAAAAAGACACTAAAATTATTTATAAACTTATCTAACAATATCTATAATGCTTAATTAAGCTTGTTATGTAAAGTACATTTTAGGAATTAGACTGTATTTGGGGAAGATACATGAATCATTCCAGGTCACCAGATTTGCCTTAAAAAAAATCTTCAGCATTTTTAGGCATCAAACTTGTTTATCATTCAATCATTCATCACTCTTTAAAATTTGTCATTCATTCAACAGATACTACTGAGTTCCTACCATGTTCAAGTACTGTGTGGATAACTAGGGACAAGGTAAGATTGGACTAGATGCAGACTTACACATAAATATTTGAATTAGGAAGTGCTCTTGTATCTATTATTTCAGTTTCTCTACCTTGACTGTAACTTTTTCAGAAGAATTCTGATATCTCAGGTTTTCAGTCAATTTATATCATTGACCTCTGAGCAGCAGATCACTTCGATTCTTGAGTCAACTTATATATGGGAATGCCTTTCTCTTGTGGGCATTACTTTTTTAAAAGTGACTTGGGAAAAGTTCATTTCAAATAGTCAAGCTGCAGTTATAAAAGGAAATATGAATTATGCACTCAAGCACAGGCTTGAGATTTAGCAGCCTTCGTAAGCTGTAGTTTTATTTCCATACATAGATTTTTTTTTAATCACTGGCACATCCTACTCAAAAACTATACATTGGGGACTATATAATTATTTGAAACATTACCACGGTATTTAGATATATACATATATATAAGTAAACAGATTGAGCTAAAAAGAAACATACTTGTGGGAAGACACAAATGTTCAGCTATCTTACACTGCCTTGAGATTTTCTTATTAAAAATCTGTAAATTATTGTGACACATTTAGGACACATCTAAATTTTGAAAAACTTAGGGAAGCTTCAATTTAGTAGCTTGGGTCTGTCTTGACTGAATATCATTGTGCCTGCAATATCTAACAAATAGTCAGGTATCCATCATGGTAATGAAGGGAAATATTTAACAAAAAGAATGGTCAATGCAGCGATTACATATCAGCAGTCTTCCATCTCACAACTCATTCTCTTTTAAGAAAGCAAAGATAAAATTAAATCCAATCATTTCAACAACAGATATATATGGAACACCACTACCTGTTTTTACCTATGCAATACCTCCCGGATTAAGATAAGGCATCTGTCTGTAGTGGTCTGTATTTAATATGGGAGAAGAGTCATGCAGTAACACATGAAAGAATTCCTTCAAGTTCATTATTGTCACCCCAGCCCAAGACACAGTCATCTCATCCCTAGATTTCTAGGTGTCCTTTTGGTTCCTCCTTTTGCTCTCCTACAACCCTGAGTCACAAAAGTCAGTAATCATCCACTGCACTTAAGATAAAATCTATGCTGTTTCACTTAGTGAAGGAGAGAGAGGAGAGAAGGAGGAGGATGAGAAGAAGGAAGATAAATCATCATGTTATAATTCTTACCTTCATAGTTTTCAAATTTCTACACAGTCTGGCCCTACCTCTCTGTCTTACCTCAACTCTGATCACTTCTCACCTTGTCTAGGGTACAGACTATCTTCTCCCACCAGAATTAAGCCCCATGAGAATATGTGTCTTTTCTTGTCTGGCTCTTTGTATCTGTGTCATCCAGAAAAATGTCAAAGAATGTAAGAGGCATATAATAAATGTTTCTTGAAAACAATGAATGGCTATAAGAGTATGATATACTTCTATATTGTGATATGTTAAATTTGCAAACTGAGGGCAGGCATTGAAGGGCAGGATAGTCTTTCATAAGGTAAATAACAAGTTCAAATACATAGCAAATTCAAAAAGAAAATAATTTTTTAAAATGAGGTGGACGGTAGGTATAAAATAGACCTCCTAGAAAGTTAAGACTTGAGATGCGCTTAGAATAAAAATTTGAATTTCAATAGGTGAACATGAGGGATGAAGTACAGCACTTTCGGTTAGTAAGAGACCAAATGTGGTGGATGGAGCTAAAGAAGGAAAATAAGGGGGGAAAGTGACAGATCCAGGCATTCAGACTAAGGAAGGATAGAAACCAAATTGCAGTTAAGAATGGCCAATCAAAGGACTTGAGGTTAGAATTGATTAAGTAGAAAAACAAGATTAAATACTTCTAAGGAGATAGCCATTATAACAAAAGGGGTATTTTAGGAAGATTCTTTTTGTAGCACATGTAAGGTGAAGTAAAGAAGGTAAATAAATTTACATAAGAAGTCTGGGCTGGGAGGAGATAGCTCAGTGGTAGAGTGTGTGCTTAGAATGCACGAGATCCTGGGTTCAACCCCCAGTACCTCCATTAAATATAAATAAATAAATAGACCTAATTACCTAACCCACCGAAAAAAATTTAAAAAAGAAGTCTGGGTGGCCAATTTGGGATTAAAGTGATAAAATAAGGGCCATATGAGATAGTGGGGGAGAAAAAGACAAACCAAAGAGGACAAAAGAACTGATGGTGAGAATCTGAGTGAGTAAGAAGAGAGAAAGGTACCCAAAGCTAAGAAGACACTATGTGTACTAGATAATGTCTTCCTTCTATCCAACAGGAAAATGCAGAAATGCAAAGCCACATTGCTTAAAGGTCACCATTCTACCCCTAAACATTAATGGCTTCCTGTGCGACTCGGTTTTTCCAAATCCTTCTCTGTATTTGGACAAAGTTGAAGTATGTCACCCTAGAGCCTTGTATTAGAATATGGATCTTTCAAAGTCTTTCAGTGAGTTACCCATCCATATTTATAGGTTTTCTTATTACATCAATCAACAGATAAAGTATTTCAACAGGAATTCATAGGCTGTGTGTGATTAAGCATTCATTAAGATGTCTTTCAAGCAAATTTCCTCTGCCCACTCCATTTGCTGAAGAGGATCTGGCTGATAACACCTAATTGGATACTGAGGTGGACATCTAACTCTAACTGGTCCAATCAGAATCTTGCCCTGTGACTTTACACCAACAGACAGTAAGGAGAAAGGAACAAATACATGTTCATTCCAGAACTCTAGAGAAGAAGCCTATGAATTTGGAATAGCTTTGTCTCCAATCCTTTCTAATGCTTCATTGTTCGAATTTTCTGATGTCTCAGAATCTATCCAATACATTTCTTTTGCATTTTCTTATCTTAAAAAAAAATCTTCTGGTTTCTATTTCATACAACTCAAACAAACTTAATCCACACCTACAGTAAAATGCTTTTAGAACTGTATTAAATGTAGATGCAGATGTTTCTAGTGGAAATGGTAAATGAGAGCAAGACAGATGTAACTTGGGAGCATGGAACGAAAGCTTGCACATTAATAAAACTCTTCACAAAACTAATCTAAGAGAGAAAAGCAACACTTGACTCATAAACACAGAATCGGAGTTCTGTTTGTCTCTCTCCTCCCAGAGGACTGATATTTTTGGTAGGAGTTGTTTTTTTTTTAATGTATGTGGGTTTTTGTTTTCTTTTAAACATTTCTTCATCTTATTACCTCCTTCCTCAAAGGGAAACTTATATACTTGGAGGCTGTAGAACAGATCAGCTGTGGTCCTACTTAACTAGGCAGACGGGTGGCATGCCATGAGAGGGAGCTGAGAAACTGGAGAGGGCAAGATGGCATAGGTCCTTACAAACCAGGTTAAGTTGCCAGAAGTGATATGTGAGTTGAGACAGAACAATTTAACCAAGGGTGTTGCTGAGTCCCCTGGTCACTGGGATTCTAACAGCATGAATATTTAGAAGGGTTACGACACCCACTCTCCTAGAGGTTGAAAGCATATTAAAACAGCAGAGTCTATTTTTGTAAGTAGCACCTGAAAAGGTTTCTACACACCCAGAATAGTATTTCAGTTCATTAACTAAAAAACTTTAGTGTTATGGTTGATTGGTTTTGTGTTCTAGTTTACTTCAGACCATTTTGATATGCTCATGGAAGTAGGCTGAAGAAGCGTTTTAATTTTATTTAAAAAACTAAAAATCAACAAGAGAGGGTTAGGAGTATTCATTCATTTGTTCATTCATTCAAAAATATTTATTATGCTGCCAAGTATCCCACCAGAAAGTGATTACGTAGGTTGCTTGTTTGCTTTAAGGATGCAGTTCCTGTTTTCATGAATCCTGGGGAGGCAAACATTAAGCAAAGAACCATACAAGATATGATTACAAATTGTGCCAAGTCAACTGAAGAAGTACATGATATGTACTTTTTGTCATATGAGACACTGATAGGGGTTTGATTTAATTAGTAAAGATGATCAGGGGAATCCTCTCTGAGGAAGACTTCGAGTCTAGAAGACTGTGCCTTAAGCCAAGAAAAGGGGAGGAGCAGGATGGATTTGGAGGCAGGGAAAGGGGATTCCAGAAAAAGTGGAAAGCATGTTCAAAGCTCTCATGGAAGGAGAGAACTTAGTGCCTTTGAACAACTGACAGGATTCAGGGTAGCTGGTGCACAGTGAGGCAGGGGTGGCATGCTATTAGAAGGGACTAGAAAATTGAGGAGAACAAGACAACATAGGTCTTTACAGGCCAGGCTAGGGATTTGGGTCTCTGCTTGAATGCAGTAGGAAGCCACTGAAGGAAGTGGTGGTGATATGAATATCATTTAAATGTGAAGACTACTCAGACTGCTGTATTGAGAACAAGTTCTTCAGTGGGTCAACATTAGAAGCAGGAAGAACAGTTTGAAGGTCATGGCAGTAAAGCCAGGGGAAAGATGAGAACTATCTATGGAGCATGGTGATCGATCGCAAAATGATAGCCGAGTTTTAGGGTTAATCTAACTAGATCTGCTAGAGTTGCCTACTGCTTGACTTGGGAAGCTACGACCTTTAAAAAGGCGTAAGGATAGTTCTATGGCATTCTTTCTGTCACTACTTAATCTGATGTGGTTTTGTTTAAATATTTTACTTAGTCTTAATTTTAAAATGTTTTCTATAAAACGTTTAAAAATACAATCATGAATAGAAAAAGAAAAAAGAAAGCTACATAATTTAGATACACACACACACACATATGTATTTACCTAAAATGTGAAAAATCACATTTTATGGACTGTTTTGTCACTTGTGTTTTACATTTACCAACATGTCATAAACATGTCTCCTTGTCAAGATCTGCAGAAATGCATTCTTTGAATGGCTATTGGTCTTCTTGCTTACGAAGGCGCCATAATTTTTCAGTAATTTTTTTTATTAATAAGCATTTAGATTGTTTCCAATTTTTCATTATTACAAATAATGCTGCATTTTCATTATTATAAATAATGCTGCAAGGAATATCTTTATGCATTTCTGCAAACATTTAAACACACTTTTAGGAAAGTTTCTATAAAATTAATTACTAGGAATAGAATTGCTAAGTCAAAGGATTTATACATTATATAAATTTATAACTACTGGGAAATTGCCCTCCAAACTATTTATCTTGATTTCTATTCCTGCTGGTTTTACTATACCTTCAAAATACTGTGGACTTTTCACAATCTCATGAAGTAAAAATTTTAACTCATTATTGATTTAGTTTACATTTTTTTGACCACAGAATGGTGGAACATTTTTTTCTATGTTGATAAACTACTTCTGTTTCTTTGTCTGGACTTCCTATTGTATCCTACTCCCCCTTTTTATCATATTTTTTGTCTTTTTTATTATTTTGTGGGAAATATTCATACGTTTAGGGTATTAGCCCTTTGACTATGATATCTGATGCACATAGTTTTTGATGCTATTTTGTTTTTTCATGGGCTTTTGTCTCTTATGGGCTACTTTTGTAGTACAGAATTTTTCATTTCAGATTTAGGGAGTCAAATTTTGCCCCCTTTATAAATCATTTAACTTTGAGATTTCATAACAAAATCACTACCAACCACTTATAATTAAATATTTCAAAACAAGGAGAAACATGCATAATCCATTGATAGTCCTAAAAGCAATTAGCTTAACACTTCTGAAAAAGAGTTACACTGAGTCTGGTCATTTCAATTCTCCTTAATTCTTAAAATATCATGAGCATGAAACTAGTTCTCTTACTTACATAATTTTTTGTTTATACATACCTTTCGACTGAATTCTATCCAGGACCTAACCAAAAAGTTCAGGTTCATTTACCTGAAATTCCAAAGAGAACCTAACCTGCTCTTGATTCATGAGAATAACTGCTTCTCCTTATACAGGATGTTATGTATTCTGGGCTAGAGAAATGCCTGATGACTCCTACAGTCTGATGATAAATGTCACTTGTGACTTTTGTCTCCAGTCTACAGTTCCTAAACTGGTTAATATCAGGATCTCTCTCCATATATTTAGGCTAGAGGCAACTGAACACATACTATTAAATCTGTGACAAATAAGGAAGTAATTTACTTTGATGTTAATCCAAAATGAACAAAATAATTTCTACCACCTTTCTCTTGATGTGCCATAGTGAATGCATTAAAAACACGATCAGGCTTTTTGCTGTAACTGCACTGTAGGAGTTCTTCAAAACATGATCCCTTGTGTTCCTGATTTCATGTTCCTCAATGTACAATGTTTCTAGACAACATAGTGTATCTTTTATTACTGCCCTCCCTTTGATGAGTGCAAAGAGTGGCAAATATATTTAAAAGATTTTAGGAGATTGTTTGATCAATGTAATCGGGTCCTAAATATTTTTGAAAGCAAGTAATGCCATCAACTAGGCTCATTAAAGGAAATATATGTGTGTATATGTATATGTGTGTATGTGTATAAATATATACATATATATTTAAAGATAGAGTGATGAGGTAGAAACTTGTAAACTCTTGAATCAATAGGAAAAAGCATTTCCATGATCCTACTAGCAAGGAAGACAAAAATGCCAACCTCTTCCTCTTTGATGATTCCATTCAATTTGCCTCTCCAACCATGTGTCACAGAAGACTCTTAGAGCAATACTCCTAGTACACACACATAGACACACACAGACATCCGAAGCCTCCTGATGAAGTAAGTTTGAAAAATATGAGACTGCAACTAAAAACAGAGAGATGTTTTACCAAAGGAATTTTCAGGGCCCTTAAGATGTTGATGCCCTTTGTTAATTAATCTCTAAGACTCTAAGAGGAGATATTGCTTTTTGCTTTCTGAAAACAGAATCTATTTTTCAAAGAATATAAGAAACACCTGTGAACACTGCATGGATTTTAAGAATGACAATTTCAGACGTGCTTCCCTAGGGCATCCAATTGCCTTAAATACACTGACTTCATATTTCTCCTGCAAGACTGGGAAAAAAATTAGCTTCTCTATCATCTTTTTTGAGATTCATAAGAGACCAGCCATGCTACTACTGT